CTTATTAATTAGGGTTCCCTGAGGATCTCCATTTCTGAGAGTCAACCAAATTGTACGGGGTTGATACTCAGGACTGAAGCACTTAGGTTCTCCTACTCCCAAATGACACACACTATATTCTATATTTAAGTATCTACATCTTGATACATCTCCTTTACACTCATATTGCGAATGCCAAATTAGGGTCTGGGATATATGGTTACCTGTTCTTGTAGTCTTAATGCATACCTCACAGCTAGGAGTGTTGGTACCTTTACCTTCCTGAATATAAAAATACACATAAATAAACATTATTAAAAATACATCTTTCGTCGTCATCCTCAGTCTTCGTCCGTGTGAAGGCACCTCAGCTTCCAGGATGTAAGGACTGCAGGGAATGGAGTTCTGCTTGTCTTCACAGGGGTCCCCTCAAGACTTTCCCTGACTTATACACTCGTTGGTGAGTGGACAGGCTTTATTATGGCCTTCTCACTCACTTACCAAGTCTCTGAAACAATAAAATTTGTAATCTACAAGATTCCTCGTCACTCCGACTGAGTCGTGCGTTTTAACCGGATCTTGCAGGGATTCTCTGGATTTGCTGTAACTTGCCAGGAATCGGCTGCTGCTGGTTTAACCCTGGAGTGATGTGTCCACGGAGCCACTTCGGCTACTTTTATCGCTGTAGGGGTAGACAGAAGAACAACATAAGGACCTCTCCACTTGGGCCCTAACGGCACATTATTCCACTCTTTAATCCACACTTGGTCGCGTGGGTGGTAACTATGAATTGGGGGATAAATATTCACAGGTAATCTATCTTGTACCCATTTCTGTACCTCCTCCATAGTCTTACCCAACTCTACAACCTGCTGCCGAGTAATTCCTTCTCCCAACTGACTCAAATCCCCCCTTAAGTTACCAAGCACGGGAGGTGGTCGCCCGTACATGATTTCAAAAGGAGAGAGGCCCATCCTTCTGGTAGGTGTACTACGGATTCGCAATAGAGCTATGGGCAAGAGAACGCTCCACTTAAGTTGGGTTTCCTGACACATTTTAGCCAACTGATTCTTAATAGTTCTATTCATTCTCTCTACCTTACCAGAACTCTGGGGTCTATATGCCGTATGAAGCCTCCACTTTATACCAAGCATATGAGTCAATTGTTGTAGGCACTGATGAACAAAAGCTGGACCATTGTCCGATCCTATGGAGCAGGGTAGTCCATATCGGGGTATTATTTCTCGTAGCAGGAATCTCACGACTTCTCCTGCTTTCTCTGTACGAGTAGGACATGCTTCTACCCAGCCTGAATAGGTGCACACCACTACCAGCAGGTAGCGATGTCCACCCGATTTAGGCATCACTGTATAGTCAATTTGTAAATCGGACATGGGAAGTCCCCCATAAACTGGACTCCTGGTGGCTTTACTGGTCCTTGTCTTGCATTATTTTTAGCACACGTTACACATCTACGTACAATGGCCTGAGTCAAGTTGGACAATCTTGGTATGTAGAAATGTTTTCTGAGAGATTCTTCTGTACTGTCTCTCCCAGAATGTGTCCCGTTAAGATAGTTTTGGACAATTTCTACCGCTAGTGATGCTGGAATAACTATTCTTCCATCTTCTAACTGATACCATTTGTTCTCCAAATACTTTCCAGGTTCAGTCCTTAACCACTCCTCTTCTTGAGCTGTATAAATTGGAGTCCATTGAGACAGTGGAGTTGGTATAAGAGCAGCTATATGCCCTACATATTCCTGTCTTCCTGATTCAGCAGCACGCTTAGCTGCACTATCTGCCATCCGATTCCCTTTGGTTACATCACCATCTCCTCTCAGATGCGCCCGACAATGTATAATACCGACTTCTTTCGGCTCCCACACTGCTTCCAATAGTTGTAGGATCTCAGCTGCGTATTTGATTTCTTTGCCTTCTGAATTCAATAGTCCTCTTTCTTATACAAAGCTCCGTGGGCATGAGTGGTTAAAAACGCATACTTGGAGTCCGTGTAGATGTTCACTCTTAAACCTTCAGCCAATTGTAACGCTCGTGTCAGTGCTATCAATTCTGCCTTTTGTGCTGATGTTCCTTTTGCCAGTGACCGAGCTTCTATCACCTTGTCTATCGTTGTTACTGCATATCCTGCATAGCG